CCCTTTCACTTCATTGCTAGCCAAAGCCCCTTGGTTTAAAAAAGCAGGAGGTTTTTGAGCAGCTGAGGCTGGCTGAAGGCACAGGGAAGAGGGATGTGTAAGCACAGGGAAGAATGAGACCGCTCTTGGAGCGGTGGTGATGGGCTCATCAGCACTAAGATGCATGCCCAGACAGGACAGGCTGGGGGATTACCTCCCACCCTGAGAATAATAAAAGAAGAGACTTTTCTTTCCCTGGTGGCCGATTGTTTGGCTGGACGTGGATTGAGTGCTCGGGCTCAGATAAAGGCTGGAGGCTTGGTGATGATATCAAACAGGCAGTTGGAGCTTGGGGCCAGCCAAGTTGTCATTTCCTAATGCTGCTGTTGCTGTCACCCAGCCTTCTGGGGCACTGAGGAGTGTGGAGTGAACTGTTACAAAGCCTTGTGAAAAAGCAAGTCAAAGCCTTATTCCCGAGCTGTTCTCTCCTCGGCAGCCCCAGCTCTGCTTTCCTCTTGGATATTGTGCTAAACTTCAGCATTTGATCACCAAAAAAAAAAGAGAGAAAAGATAAAACACAAAGGTAGAAATCAATGGAGCCTTTAAACAGGGCGCTGTGAAAGAGGCTGCGCTTTGCTGTTGTCTTTCTGAACCCTGTGAAACGCTGGGAAACTGTTTTTAATAAACAAGAGTTCAAACAGTGGGGCTCCATAGCCAACAGTCACGCCTTAAACTCCAAACTTTACATGAAAACTCTCGGATCCCTTTGAACTCTTTTTTTCCTCCCTGGCAGAGGATTCCAGTGTTTATGCATTTTTGGGAGATTGCTGGCGGGATCATGAGGAGGGTTTTAATATAGGGGTTTTTGAAACAATCTCCTGCCTTCAGAAACCATTAATGCCCACTAAGGAACATCAAGGCAGCGCTTTGAAGTGCCTTCTGGCTACAGCCCTCTTACACCCTTTGGTTACTGTGCAATCAAATAATTAAATGGAGTCTACACAACTTCTTTTACCTGGTAATTAAACACCCCACATTGGACAGGGGCAAAGGGGTTCTAAAGGCATTTCAGAGCTACAAAGCCTCAAACACAAAAGCACTGCACGCTACTGGAGTGAGGGAGTAGACACTTTCCCCTCCTTTGGCAACCTGTCGCACAGGCAAGGTAAGAGCGAGCCCTCCTCTTCCCGGCTCAAGCAGGGTCAGGGCAATGAATCCCGAAGGAGAAAGGGCAGAGCCATAAATCAGCAGCGTTGAACTCTCAAACTTTTCCTTTTTTCTCTCCGTTTGTTTGTTTGCTTTGGAATAAACAGCGAGGAAGAAAAAGTCGGAAATAGTCTTTTGGCTGCTTCATCAAATGCTGAGTTACGGGCCAGCCGCCATCCCGAAAGGCCATGGAGCCCGACTTGGACACGGGTTGTCCCTGAAGGCTTTGGGCGTTTGGCTCAGTCAGGGCAGTGGCTCTCGGGAATGCCGGGATGGGAATGCCACTGTGCCATCAGCAGCGGGCTGTGCTTGGCAGGACTCAAGCTCATCCTATTCTGGAAGAACAAGGGCGTTTTGGTGACAGGTTCAAAAGAGCAGGGCAGGTTTGTGATGGGGTGTGCTGTGATCCAGTAATAATTCCCTGCAGGATGCTCCTGCGGAAACTCATCTCCCTTCAAGGTACCCTTTTGATGGAAGCTTTCTGAGACCTGGTTGTTTCACTTCCCAGAAGTTAGCTGAGAAAGTTTTCTCTGGTTCCAACCTAAATTGGCCCTTCCTTCCTGGAGCTCTGCTTTGATCTGGGCATTTGAATCTCAATGCAAAACTCTGGTGCTTTGCCTGGTTTTTGCATGGCAGCAACACAGGGCAGGGTTTAACCCCTGCCCAGCCATTCCCCACCTGCATGTGCCATCAGCTGCCCCCTTGTTATTCCCAAATCATCTTTGGATGCCAGCTGGATTTACAGCATCTGTCCCAGGAGCTGTGTCTGGTCCCCAAACCCCATCCTTCGCCTCTGCCCTGCTGGGGCCGGTGGGAGGTTGGTTGGTTCAGGTCTGAAGGCAGAGACCCATCACCTGCTGTGTAATCCTTCATGTCTGTCCTTCATGTCTTGTCAATGAGAGACTTTCTGGTTGACAGCTTCCTGTGAAATGTCTGGAGAGGACGTTGTGCTTGTGCTGGAAAACCTTTAGAGATGGAAGGGGTTTGGGTAACAGGGCTTTGGAAAAGGCACAAACCTTTTGTTCTTGGCTGCCACAGCCACCTGCAAGTACTTCAAAGGGATGGAGGGGTTTTGCTGGTTCATATTTTAGGGCTGGATGAGGCCTTCAGTGTGAACTGGGCTCCTTCATAGGGGTGATGCTGAGCTTTCAGCTCTGCAAGCGAGGGCAAAGGGAAGAGCTGAAGTAGGAGCATCCCGGCCATGCATCCTGCGTATCCCAGGTCTTTTGAAGGATTTGGGAGGGAACACGAGCTCACTTTGAGCCAGCCCAGCAGAAGAAGGGGAGGTGAGGAGAGCTGCAGTGCTGGTGGGAGCGGGAGCAGGAGCGCTGTGACTGCAGATGAGGAGGCAGCGCTGGCGCCATGCACCAGGAATGACGAGGCGGCCGTTTCAAAGCAGGCTGAGCTGTAGGGCTCAGAGATGTTCCCGACTCCTGCAGGGCCCAAGGCAAACGTTGAAAGGCAGAATTCCCAGAGGGCCTTTCTGTTTCCTTTTTATTTATTTTTTTAACCCAAAATAATAGCAATAAGGCAAGATCTACCTGTCAAACCTCACCCAGTGACGGGCTGAATTAAGGGAGCCAAGACTTAATGGGCTTTCTTCCCTAAAAATAGCTCCCCCTCATGAAAGAGATGAAGGGCATTGCCCAGGGAGGTCAGCCAAAATTGGCTGAAATTATGCTATTGCCTAGATCTGATGTCCAAAATTAACCTCCCCTCTCGCTGCGTGGGTTCAATGCTCCCTGAAGATTAAACGCATCGCAACACTCATTTAATTGAGAAGAGAGGCTAAAACATACGGCATGGCAGGGTTTACGTGTTAGAGAGACTCTTCATCCTGATTAGCAACGTGTTAATGAAGGCAAGGGGGAAGGAATGTGTGTGTGCATGGCTGGGCAAGGCTGCGGGCAGGAATCAGGGATGTCGCTGGGAAGAATGGGAAGGAGCTGAACCAGAGCTGCTTTCAGCATCCAGAGGGAGCCTGGTCCCCTCTTCAGAGGGGAAGGGAGATGATTTGCCTTAAATAAGTCTCCATCCTCCTCTGTGTGGGTGTTTTCTGGGCTCTGTGATTAAGAGGGAGCGTTTGAAAGCGATGGGATAGGAGCCTCGTTTAAAGCCCCAGTGCTCCTTTCGTGTTTTCCTCTTTAATTAATCTGAGGTTGCTGCAGGAGTGCAGTGCTCCGAGGAAGGTGTTTGAGGAACAGGAGGTTAATGGAAGGTGAAAGAGAAAGGGAATGATGCTGCCGATGTGAACCAGCAGCACCTCCAGCCCAGCCAGTGCACAACTGATTTATGGGATTAGAGGGAATAAAATCCATAGGTAAAGGGGAGAGAAACCTCAGGGAGACTTGGGAAAGGCTGGGGGGGGGGGGAATAGGAAGTGCTGCAGATTCCAGCACCTGGGAAAAGGAGGGAGTTTTCATGGGACTTCAGCTCAAAGCACCCTCCCCAATACTGACACTGTTAAAAATAACAGAGAGCCTACAATCTGTTTGCTTATAAAGGGATTTTTGTCACTGTTTTGGGGTCTTTTACTGTTCGAGAACTGGGTTTGCAGAAGGGCTCTGGAAGGGTTTGGACAGAAGTGATGTGCCTCGGGATGCTGTAAATGGTGTGTTGTGATAGGGTGGGAGCTTCCCATCGCCTCTGATGGTGCAGGGGAGCTGTGGGATGGTGGCAGCTCGCTTAGTCTGTGCACTGGTTTTATGGACAAAGGATTCCCAGGACATTGTTGCCTGGCTCCTGTATCCGCTGGTCCTTGGTGCTGCAGGAGGCAGGTGGCATCGCTCCTCCACTTCCCATTTCCAGGAATTTTGGGGGGTTGAGTTGGTTTTACCAGCTGAGAACACCATTGGATGTAGGCACCTGTGTCAGGGATGTGTCCTCACCCTGCCATGGGGCTGGGGTACCTCTTCCCAAAGCACAAACCTCTTCCAGTGAGGATGTGCCAGTGCTTGTGAGTCAGCGCCCTCAGTGCGTACTGACACTGTCCCCACCTCCTGCTCTCGCTGCAAACTGGAACTGGGCAGAGATGGAGGTTACGCCTTGAGGGGGCTCTAACATCATTCGATTGTAAGCTTCTGACTGTGGGGGCAGGCTCAGGTGTGGTTATGGGCACTGACTCAGACCTTCTGCACTCTTTGAGCCAGGCAATGCCAAGCAGAGAGAGGAGAACACAAATCTGTTCCTCCTATGCACTGTGTCACAGCGGAGAGGCCTGCAAGCAAGGGCTGGGATGCTTTCTGCATCCAGACACAGCCTGGGTTTATGCTGAGGGAAGCAAAAGGCACATTTCCAGGGTCCTTGTTCCCACTTATCACAGAGAGAACGGGCCCCATGGATGCACCATTCCCAGCCCTATTCCCCACTGCTTCAAGGCTTTACTGGGGACTGAGCAAGCCCATTGCCCCTCCAACAACTTCCAGCTGTGGAACACTTGGGAAAGTGGGGATTTCCTCCCTAAAGAAGCCCCCGGGTGATTCCCAGCCCACTGCTTTCTCCAGGCTCTGTGCCCTAAAAGCTCCTGAGGACCATTAAAGGGCCATCAATGTGTTTTAACTGTGCAGACACCAGGGCTGGTGTTTCTGCTGGATGGTGACACAAACACAGAGCAAACACGATGCTTTGAAGCTCACCTGAGCCCACCCATACCAATTCTCCACCATGCTATGGTCTAATGCAGGCAGGTTACCTTCCTCCATGGCTGTTGTGGGGCTTAATGTGTTTTCAGCACGAAAGATGCTCTAGGTGTTAAGTATTAGTGAGATTTCAGTGTATGGAGTGGTTTGGTCTCACTCACATCATCATTTCTGCAGTGCAGGGTGCTTGCTGTTGATGTTCCTCCTCTTGAAGGCCCCAGTCTGGGACATTTTGGATCCCTCCTCTGGAAGTACCAAACCAGGACATTTTGGTACCAAACCAGGACATTTTGGTAAGTACCATAGCACTGCAAGGGGCTCTGTGGGCACTGCTGTTGTTTAACCTGATACACTTGAGCTCAACTAAAGAAACCCAATGCTTGGGTCAAAATGAGGTTCTCACTCCCTCCCCACCTCCTGTTCCGCTTACACCCAGGTTGGATGCTGCACTCTTCCAGCAGAACTCCTCTCCAGTTAGCAGCTGACAAGGCAGACCTGCAATCACCATCTCCAGCCCCAGACAAGTGGCAAAACAACTGTTTCCGAGGGGCTGAAGGTAAGTGAACGTTTTCAGTGTCACACATTAAGGTGGCGTCTAACGAGCTCCATGTCCCACTTATAATTGAAACAGAAGAGAGGATTCACTTTTCATTCATTTTAAAAGACGATTCAAATACCCTTTCATCTCCACTAAACAGCCTGCCATGTATTTGAAGCCATTTTCTATTTTGTTTCTACAGACATCCAAAAAACAGAGGTATTTTGGAACATTGATAGAAAGATGCAAAGGCTTGCGAGGCGCTGAATGGCTTCAAGCTGCCTCAAACACATTCATCTTCCCAAGAAGAATTAGGCACAGTGTGATTCATTTTAATAGCAGAAGAAAAATAATACTACAGTGTAGTGCTAAGTTCCCAACCTTTGATGGGAGACTAAAAAAAGAGAAGGGGGAAAAAAACCTCTGTCTTTCTTCCCTTATGTTGTTGAAGTCTCCCTACACCCATCCGTTATGTCCAGCTTATCAATTAAGATGAACCCCATGAACTTCAGATGGCTTTTCTAAAACAAGGCACCATCCATTTAAATGTGTAAAAGTGCCTGCAGCTCCCTTGAACCGCAGGATCCAGTCCGGAGCTCTGTGTACTCGGTGTGAAGCGGAGCCCTTTGATAGAAGTTTTACTGATGTTTTAAATGAAGTCTTCTCATACACACAAAATAACCCAGATCATTTAAAACCTCATAGAAGAAAATAGGGTGGGGAGAGAAGGGGGGGAGGGAAAAGCCCTGGTTGGTGCCATTGGTGCAGCAGAAGAAAAGAGCCTGGCTTTGGTTACCAACAGGACAGACCAAAAGCATTTCCACAATCGCTTTCCCAGGGTTACTCGCTTGAGCCGGGGAAGGTCTGGGCAACAGCTGGGAGACAAATCCATGCCTGGAATGGGCAGCTTCCCTCAGGAACAAATTAAGCTCGTTCAGCTATAAAATAGGGTTTGGGCCATAAATACCAATGGGGGAAGGTGCAGGGGTGAGAGCTTCCCAGTGTTTGTCCTGCTCAGCACCTTCCATCACATCTCTCTCTACTTCATCTTGGCTGACACAGCCGCATTAGCCAGGACTTGGCTAACTGTGAGCCAGGTTGGATGGGGCTTTGAGCATCCTGGTCCAGTGGAATGTGCCCCTGCCTGTGGACCTGGATGGTCTTTAAGGTCCCTTCCAACCCAAACCCCTCTACGATTCTGTGACTTGACAAAGGTGTGTTTTGCTCTGGCAGGTGATGCAGGTGAGCAGTGCCAGCTCAACTCCACCTGGGTAAGGCTGTGCCCACCCTCCATCACCCAAGGATGAAGACCTTCTGATGTGCCATGATCCTGCAGGAGAGCTCCTGGACCACTCCATCCCTTCGAACATCACACCCTGGCTTCATGAACCCACTTACAGAGCAAGAGGAAGTCCTCTCTCCTCCATCAGCCTGTTCTCTCTCCATCAGGTAGGCTCAGTGTTGCAATAAGGTCATGCTAAATTGGTAGCTGTTACCTGAAGGAGCTGTAAATGATTTAATCGTTGCACTGAAGTGCAGCCCAGCCTTTGCCTTGCCTTTCTTGAGCTTCCCAATGGGAATAGCCCCTGCCAGGGTAAGAGAGGGAAAGGGCAAGGTAGAGCTCAGCTGCTGTTTCCACCTTACATGAGAAAAAAAACAATTTAAGGCATTAAGGGGGAAAAAAAGTCAGACAATGTTAATTTGAAAAATATAAAATTTTAATAAAGGCTACATCTCTTAATTACAATAATTATTGTACCAAGTAATTTTTTTTAAATGAAACTCTTTATAATGCATAATTTACAGTATAAGTAGAACAAAATGCCATGGCAAAAGTCATGAGTACAGGACTTGTAATAAAAGGCATAAAATAGATTTATACATAAACCCCTTAAACAAACAAGGGAAAGCTTGAACCCTGAATATAGGGCGACGCATGGCCTCGTAACACCATGCAGGCACAGGTACTGTACTGATTCAATTTTAGAAACACTAGAGATAGTGTATTAATATTTTCACCATACGTTGTCTACAATATATACAGACTTACACGAAGTAGCAATGGCAAACAGAATGCACAGATTAACTTAATCAACACAAAACCCAACTGTAGAAATGCAAGGTCTTCTCATCGGGAAAGGGCCGCTCTGCCCCCGACATCCACGCACATGCACACACGAAGCTCTGCCCAAGGGATGCACAGAGCCTTCCCCCTCATCTCCCACGGGCTCACGTGGGGGTTGTGAAGGGAAGGCAAAAAACACCCCCAACCAACCAACCAACCAACCCACCCAACCAATAACCCCAACCAGAAACCACCACACACCGATTCACGCGCTCCACACCGGCCTGAAGTCGTGCCCCATCCTAGATACACGTGGTTGAAATACAAGTAGTGCTAACATTGAAGTAGAATGGCTAAAACAATTAGCTAGCTATGTGGAATACATACTTCTCTTTTTAACCTGGCTTTTGCAACGTGTCCTTTTGGTGCGCTAAGTACGGGAATGGGAACTGGATGGCTTCTACAGCTCTCCCAGGCTCAGGGTTCTGCTCTACCTTGCCTCCACCAAGAGGCACTGGCCACCGCACGGTACCCTCACCCCTGACAGCAGCAAAGCAAACACCTCACACCGCCGAAATCCATGGACAGAAATCACAATGTTGCTGTTCTTCTATTGCATCTAAGATACATGAATGCTTAAGACCTTTATTTCCAATTAGAGCAGCATAGATTAAGATGCACCGGTCTCCAGGTGAGTGGCAGGACAGTGTCTTGATTTTGCCTTTTATTACTGTTCTTATCTCTTATTTCACTCGGGAGAGAGACTGGGCACACCGTGACTCCTTCCCTCCTCCCCCTCCAACCGAAACTGAAGCATGAACATGCTCACAGCCAAACTTCCCAGTTTTAGATAGTGGGAACAACATAGAAAAATAGAATAATCCTTCCTCCCATCACCCCACTTCCCAGCCCCTCTCTTCTCCATTGTTAAAGCAGCATATCCAAAAACTGGACTTAAGGGAAAACAGACTGTTCAATAAATATCAATAAGGATTACTGTTAAGGTAAGCTATACACAGTTTCTCTTAGTCCATAGATTTCAGATCCCCAGGAAATCATATATTATGCATGGAAGTCTCTCAAACAGGGTCTGCATCTCCAATAGCCAACAGTGGTCATGTTTCTAATAAATAGTTCAGGGTTTTTATCATCTCGGTACCCAACTCATGAATAATAAATGCCATTTTTTGACTCCTCTAAGGCTAATTCAGCAAAGTCTTCACAGACCTCACTTGTTTTCTTCATTGGTTCAAAACTTTCCTTCAGAGTTTGGTTTCTGGTTTCCTCCTTTCCTTGTCATCACCACTGCTGTGTGTGTCCAAAGCCTTTTCCAGCTTAACCTCCCTTACGAAACGCAGATGCCATCAATCGATCCTTTCGACTTTCCCAAGAATCCTCCCTTCGTACATGGGCAGGATGGTTTCGTCTTCCCAAATCTCTTCAAACACCGCGCCGCAGTCAAACTCGTCGCTTGCTTTTTTGAAGTAGTATCTGTGGTGAAGGAGAATTAGAACACAGTTAAACATCAACAGGGAAAAGCAAGGGACGCTCCGGCAGCTCTTTGAACCACAGCTCTCCAATCTCTCCCTCCTAGGATGCTGCTCCAGCACCTGGCGTGGCCAGGAAAACCTCAGGGCTGCTCAGGCCCTGCAACATGAAAGCATCCCCAGAGCTGCAGGGATGGAGATGGGATGGAGGGAGCAGCGACAGCCTCTTCTACAGTGAGTAAATTGTACGTGCTGGCAGTGGATATCCTCAGCCGTAAAGAAAATTAGAAAGCACGGTGATTTCTGGTCAAATGTCTTATTTAAAACATAAATAAATAGCATTTCAAAGCAATGCATTCTTAAGGCTCCCCTCTCTCCCCACCTTCTTTCTTTCATGTGTTTTCTTGTTTCAAAGCTGAAGCCCAACATTAAAATTAGCAACTGTTATTAAAAGGAGAGGCTTTTTAGGCAGAGGGATGGATTAAAAGAAAACCATCCCAGCTTCCTGCAACGCACAAGCTGCAACTCTGCAGTCCTCCTACCGGGAGAAACCAACCCGGGAGCCTCGCATTCGAAACAACCAAGTGCGTAATTCATGGATCCATTTTAAGTGACAGAAACTCCTGCCCTTGTTTCCCCATGCTTCCTAGCAGGCGGGAGGCACGGAGCAGCCCTGGTCCAGCCTGCGGGACGTGACACGGGGAGGTCAAGTAGCAGTGTCCCACATTCCTGCTCTTTTGCTCCGGGTCGTTAGATCATGAAGCCAAGGCTCCCAGAGACAAAAAAGCACCCCCACCCCTCCTGTGTCAAACAGTAAGGACCCCTCTATTATCCTGAATTAGACCGTTCAGCTTCTTGATTAAAGGTTCCTTTTATCCCGTTTGGAGCTTTCTTCCTTCTAAGGCTGCTTAATTGCATATGCACAAATGAAGGGCTTCCATTCAGAGGGGTAGCATTTAGGGAGCCTGTCCGTCTGCCGCCGCACACCTCCTCGGACATGCCTGCTCCCTTGGAAAAGGGCTTTGCCATCTGATCACCAGGGATGGAAAAACCTTCATCAGATGGATTACAAAGAATAAAACATATATATATATATATATATATATGTATAAAAATTAACCCCTCCCCTGTAGTTTCTGGACAACTGGGGCTGGCACATGTTTGTTAGGGGAGAGGGTTCTGCACTTCCTCTTTTAGGAGGATGGGAAAGGAGATCAAATTAAGCTCCTTTTTACTATTAAAACCTGAAGAGCTACAAAAGGGGTTTAGGATTTGTTTGATTTCTTTTCTAGTGCCTGTTCTATTCCACCCTTTTAAACTACCCAGCACCAACAGCCCACAAACCTATGTATTTTTAGGGCAGAATTATTTTGGTAGGGGGATAAAAGCTGCCTTTTCAGTCAAAAGAGATGAAACCAGCCCCATGTAGCCCAGGTACGGTGAGGGTTTATTTCTGTACAGTCACTCCAAGCTGCACTGACACATGTTGCGTCTTTAATGGCTCAGCAAGGAAAAAAACCATCTTCTTTAAGCCCTTCAGAGCCTGCGCTCATTGAAGTCAATGGCCCAGCTCCCACCAACTTTGATGCTGCAGGTCAAGGCAGCAATTCCCCAGGCCAGCAGCCGTGAACCAAACCCAGCAAAACCCAAGGCAAGTTTGAATGAATTACAAAGAACTTTCTCTTCCCTTTCCCCTTCTCCGCCCCTCTCCCGATAAGAGCCGCTCTTCCCCATCACTTCCTCCACCACCCCAAGTCCTGGCTGTGTTTACTGAGCTTGGATTTGGGAAAACAGGCTCTGACCTTTTCCATAATTACAACCTTATTTCGCACAGAAAAGGGGGGGAAAAACAAGAGAAAGAGGAGGCAAAACAAGGGAAAAAAAACCATCCTCCCCCACACATCTTCAAACAAGTCACTCTGCTCGTATTTGCTCAGCAATGGGCTTTCCATTGAAGCATATTTTATGTGGCAAGCTTTGCTCTTTTGCTTTTTTCCTTTCTATTTTCCTTTATTTTCTGGGACATCTGGCACCAATCGAGGCGCGCGGGCCGGGCCCTTCAGCGCTGTTCTGAACCGCTGCCATCTTCACATTACCCGACACCACCCAGCCTTTTTGTGCGTGGATGTTTGTTTTTTGTTAACGCCATCAGTATTAAATCACTGCTTAATTCCTCCTTTTTCTTGGGGGGGGGGGAGGAAGGGAAGCAAAGCAGCGCTTTCCCGGCGGCTGCCCCACGGCTCTGGCATCGCGGGAGCCCGAGGTACCCGCCTCGCAAACTGATCCAATCAATAAAGAATTTGGAGAGCGGAGCGTTTCTGCGTGTCTTTGTGCATTAAATGAAAGGCAACGGCTTCAAAGCCATGCTTATTAAATGTGCCTTAAAAAGAAATCAATGCCAGATGTGACCAAAGCAGCCTAGTTAGTGCCTCCCCGTAACACACACACACGCTACTCCGGGCACTGCGGACCTCTTCCCCCTGAAGGTCACCCGCAGTTTCACTCAAAGTCCAGCCAAAAGTCAAAGCTTAGATCAAAATGATTCCCTGGAGGTGCACACATTGGTGTAATTAGTTTCACCTTGTGTCTGTGCAAGATAAAATACTGGGCACGTACCCAAGTTCCTTTTATACGTTTCGGTATTGTCTTTACCCAGGTGTAAAGGGGCGAGATCTGAGCAGAACGGTGTTTCATCCTTGTCAGTCACTTAAAAACTGTTTCTAAAGTAATTACAGTCTGACAAGGAACAAATAATTGCACCTGGAGGGGCTTCTGGGCCACAGAGGTTTTAGGGGCCTATTCCTGCAGTGGGGCATCACACTGAACATGTCACAGAACAACACACTCACAAAAAGGGATGTTTCTGGGGGTGGGACTACACGGCCCTTGGAGCAGTGGTAGCGCAGGGGGGAGGTCAGGAAAAGCGGGACATGAAGCAGCCGGAGGAGGAGCACAGCAGGGTGGGAAAGGCTTTAGGGGCTGGGAAACGGCACAAGGGTGCAGGAAGCCCAGGGATCTCTCCTGCAGGTTGTCCAGGTTGGATGTACTTGCAGGTTGCTGCCATCTGATGGCAGCTGGGCAGCTGCAAAGGTGGTTTTGGGCAAGGATTGGCAGGATTTCAGCCCCAGCCCCACTTCACAGCAGCCATAGACAGACCCCAAGCCTGAGAGCATCCTTGGGTCACCCAGTTCTGATCTGCATCCCTAGCAAAAGCTAGGGACAGGCAAGTGACGGAGCAGCAGCTGGGAACTCCTCATACCAAGCCCAAGTGACCATTTGGAGGTTAAAGCAGAGGATGCCAGTGACGGGACAAGCCTTCTGCTCTTTGAAACACCACCAAATTCAGCTCTTAAAGTCACAACTTCCCTCTCCTGCTCACCCTGCAGCAGTGCCAGGAGATGATCCCTAGGGAGAGTACTGCAGAAAATGGGCAATGTGAAGCTACTGCCATGGGAAGGGCAAACTGTTTAAACTGGGAGCTGGGCCCTGGAAACCAGACAGGCAGGGATCCCAGGTGATCCCGAGGAGGAGCTGGGTATCACTGGTGGAGCCCTCCCTGCAGGACAAAGGTTTCTTTTTCCCCTAATGAAGAGCAAGCTGGCTGCATCTCAGCTCCGTGTCCACTCAGATGCAGCATCCCAACCTTTCCCTGACCCCATTTATGGCCACACCATCACAGAACATTAAGAAATTCAATGAGTAGGCAAAGCAAGGAGGCCACAGCAAGGTGAAAGAGCCCTGTTTGGAAACCTAACACCACTGCTCCATGCCTTTGCCACGAGGCCATCCCTGGTATTCAAGCTTTGTGGACAAGGTTTGAAGCATGAGTGCACCCTAATGCTACCAAGGGGGAGAGACGGAGTGGAGCTGGCCCCACAAAGATGCTCTTGGTTTGAGTGGGAAGAGAGTAAGAAGAGCTGCAGCCTCTGGAAATCCAGGTAAATGCATCACTGTGGGCAGACCTGCGAAGCATCCACTTACTGATTTACTGCAATAGACTAAAGAACAAACAAATCATGGATTCTTACCTGTAATTTCCCTTTTTGCTCAGCTGTTCTTTAAAGAGCCCAAGTGTCAGGCTCTGGGCCTTTAACATCCTCCTGTAGGGAATTTCTTCTCCGCAAAAAAAATAGGTGACAACCAGCTCAGTGGCCTGGGAGGTGTGAACAACCGGCACTTTCTTTGGCTCTTTGTGACTGAAAAACAGCAAACACACAAAACCCTCTATTTTTCCATTTAGGACCAGACCGCTTCACCGCACTCCATGCAGCAATGTTCCTGCCACTGGGAACACCGGTCAGAAATACCCTGGGTGTGACCTGAGCACTCAGATATTCCTGTACTCGCTGTGCATTTGTCACACAGCATTTGCACAGCCCTTTGCTGGGCTCCCACAACAGCTCCTGCTCACTGGGGTGATGGGAACTGTGGCTCCAGGCAGCAGGGACCTCCTACCAGTTTATGGATGGGAGAATGGAGGGATGGAGGTTAGGTGCTTGCTGGGAGCATCAGAGCAGGACCATGGGCCAGCGCAGGGATCACCATGGGCTATCCCCTACCAAGTGAGCCCCAGTATCCACAGAATAGTTTGGGTTGGAAAGGGCCTTAAGATCATCGAGTCCCAACCCCTGTGCACATCCCTGATTTTAAAAGGCTTGTTTCATCTGCCTCCCTGCACCACATCTCCCATACTTGCTTCTCAGGCACCTGCAAGCACCAGCTCACAAAGCAAAAACCAGCGCCAACCCCATCACGTGCAGTACACAAATAACCTTAGTTTTGCCCAGCGAGGGTAAAATTAACCGGATCTTGCCATGTGCACCAAGAAACCCTTCTTTGGGAATAATTAAACCAATATTACCCAGCCAAATGGCAACGCTCTGGTGAATACGGCGCAGGCCGCTCCACAACTGCTGCTGAGGCAATGTACACTCGGCATGTCAAGAGGTCACCAAGTGTTAGTCCGCAGTAATTTAGTCTTCCTAATTTGTTCTAAGTCTTTGTAGAGTGGCTTCAGAAAGAAAGCTGCTAGCAAAGACAGCTGGTGGACTTAAGGTCAACCAATTAAAAATGAAAGGCTCCAGTCAGGTGGCTCAGCCTGGACTTCAAACATTACTCATTGCTTAAGATGAAGAGGGTAAGAAAGAAAACTTTAATTATTTAGGCCATTTTAGACCTCTCTGTAGCAGATTTCTTGTTAAAAGAACCATCCTGTAATTAGACTAATCCAATCTTTGTCCACTTTACAGGAATGCGAGTTTAAAAGAGCCACAGACAAGATTTGAAAATGTTTTGTTCTTTCTCTAAGAAGAATGTTTGAAAGACGAAATTTCAGATAGGAGAATGTCCTCAAAGCACGAGCCAGTTAATGAAAATACAATTATTACATCTCTCTCTCTATATATATATATTTCCTAATCCTTTTCTCTGCGTGCAATACTCACTCTTCCGTCGTTAGACTTGCACTGCAGAAAGGGGTGTTTCCCCCTGGCCCGGAGTGGTTTCGATCCCTCTGCTGATTTGAGGTTGAACATCTGAAGTGGGGAGAGGGGAGGGCAAGTGGGGAGGGAGGAGAGGAACAAAAACCCCAAACTTTAATAACCGATAGTTGAAATACAACCTCCTCCTAATTGAAGTCTCCTGTGGGTCATTAAGTTCGCTCTTTGTATCAAGCCTCACATGTTGTAAACAATCAAAGGAAGAATTAAAAATGCTGTGGGCTAATTCATCCTTCCATACCCAAATGAATGATAACCAGGCCAATTCCCCACTTGGTATGTAGCTGGAGTCCATCCCAGAGGAAAAATGGGCAAATTACAGCCAGCAAAAGAGTGGAAGTAATCGTCTAGGATTCAAACTATGTGAGCCCCTGGAGGGTGGGGTTGGAATAAGGAGGCTCAGGCTACGAGCTTGGCCATGGATGACCCTTTACTTAGGCAGGGAGGATGATGTCCGCATCGCCCACCAGGGATGCTCGCCCACCAGGGATGCGCAGCCACCTCCTTGCCCACATCCCACCTGGGTGCTGGCTGAAGATAAGCCCAACCTGCACCCACCAAACCTCCCCAACCCCTGCTGCTACCCCAGCTCCCACTGCAGGACCAGGTCCATCCCTCCCTACCGCAGGACCAGGTCCATCCCTCCCACTGCAGGACCAGGTCCATCCCTCCCCACTGCAGGACCAGGTCCATCCCTCCCCACCGCAGGACCAGGTCCATCCCTCCCCACCACAGGACCAGGTCCATCCTTCCCGCCACAGGACCAGGTCCATCCCTCCCCACCACAGGACCAGGTCCATCCCTCCCCTCTGCAGGACCAGGTCCATCCCTCCCACCACAGGACCAGGTCCATCCCTCCCCACTGCAGGACCAGGTCCATCCCTCCCACCAGAGGACCAGCTCCATCCCACCACCACCATTACCGTTGCTTCTGCGGCTTGGAGACCTCGGCGAGGCGGCGGCAGGCTTCCTCCAGCTGCGCCAGGGTGTTGGGGGGGGTGAGCGGCGGCATGGCGGGGTCCTGGACGAAGGGGTGGGCAGGCTGCGCCCCACGCGGGTGGCTGCTGGTCCCCCACGGGTGGTGCCGGCCGGGGGCCCCCTTGGTGAAGTCGGAGCTGTAGGCCTTCTTTGTGCTTTGTGTGCTTGGGGAGGGGAAGAAGTCGGGTTAGAAAAGCTGGAAAATATGACTTTAATAGCAGCTCCTATTCTGCTCGCTCCCTCTCAAAAGTCTGTCATAACATGAAAGGAGGTTTATTGCCAAAAACATGACATTTTTGTGGTTTTTCTGGTTCTGCGGAACAGCTTTTATATTAAACCGGAGGAGCAAAGAGTCTCATTTGTTTTTAGCGATTGTAAAAATAGACAGGCCATGTAATATATAAATATTTACCGGGAGCGATATTGCTGCAGACAGCTGCGTATTTACCTATGGGGCTTGTGCTTGTTTTGTCTCTCGCTCTCCAGCATCCACTGCCAGACGTTCTGTGCCCGGTCTGCTTCGCCCCCCGGTAGCTGCACCCCACCGGGGCCAGGCAGCCCCCCATCACCGGGTGGCAGGGCCACGCTATCCACTCCTCTGCCCGGCCTCTTCAGCAGCGTCCCTGTCCTGCTGATGGCACAAAGGAGAGAGGAGCCCACAATTACCCCCCTGTGCTGACCATGCCCATGGCAAGGGTGTGATGGTTTGGGGTGCGTGCAATGGGGAGATGCTCACGACCTACCCGAAGGGCTCCAGCGGAGGGAGAGGCGGGTCGGTGTTTTTGGGGTGTCCCTTGCACTTGGGGTAGCAGTAGAAGTCGCTGCCTGCTGGGCAGCAGCACTGCACCCGCTGAGCCGCCTCTGCTTCGATCTGCTCCTTCGTCTTGGGCACGGTGTGGTGGTGGATGTAGTGGTGGTGCACGTGCTTGGTGGTCTGCTTGGTGATGAAGCCCTTGCCCAGCAAGGTGCACGCCGCCAGCGAGGCCGCGCCGGGCGGCAGCTTGCCCACGGGCAGGCGGTCGGGGGAGCGGGCACGAGGGCTGTGCCGGGCCATGCCCGGGGACTGGCAACCGGGGGTCTTGAGCACGCGGGAGAGGTGCTCGTCCAGGATGGCCTGGGGGTCCTCCTCGTAGCTGCTGGAGGGCAGGAGCGAGAGCGGGTGCTGCGGGGTCGCCATCTCCCGACTGCTCTGCAGGCTGGCGGCCAGCTCCGAGCCCTCCTTCTCCTCGTCCTGCCGGCCAAGCGATGGCGAGCAATCAATGGAAGAGCACTGGGAGCCAGCGAGGTCCCCCCCCCCACGGGCTCATGGAATCCAGTGCCACCAAAACACATTCCTGCCCTTGGGCAGGATACGGCCCCCTCCCATCCCAAGTCCCAACCCAAGCAGGGCAGCGTGCGGCCGGCTGTGCCCAGCCCCGGCAGGGTTAACCCTCCTACCTCCTTGATTTGCTGCAGCCTCTCCTCCAGACTGTCCATGGCTTCCTGCTCCTGCTTCAGCTTCTCCAGGCGGGAAATGAGCTCCGCGGCGAAGGCAGCTGGCTCCACCGGGGTCATCTCCTTGGGAAGGCGGTGGGTCCTCTACAAGGAGCGGGGACAGAAGGCACAAGGCATGTTTAGCCAGAGCGGCATCGCCGGCCCCGCTACGCTTGTTGTGTCTCCATGTTTGGATGAAAAGACGACCGCAACAAGGCATGGTCTGCTCTGGATTTTTATGAGCTAGTGCTGTGGCCTCATGGAGTGACATCCTCCCCACCAGCGTTTGCCTTCGGCAGGAGCAGTTGGTCGCACTCTGAGGAACCCCGCTTGTTCTCTCTGTAGTACAACCAGCCCATCAGTAGCTACTCTGAAGTAGAAAATCTTCAAAGACTGTTGTCAAACATCAAAAAAATAGAGGGAAAAGAGGAAAAAAAACCCCAAAACCCGCCTCTGAGGTGGGAGGGGGAGGCTTTAACTCAAGGAATAAAGTGAGGATAAACAGAAAGGAGTTGGAAATTAGAAAAAATAAGATGGGGGAGAAAAAGGGAAAGGAGAAGAAAAAAGGGGAAAAAAAAAAAAAGCAGAAGTCAAACGGTTGCAGATCAGAGAAGTGCTGGTAATTTATTTCCTGGCTACACACTGGGCACCTTTGAGGTAGTGTTGTCTCAACAGTGTCCTAGATCTCTCCCCCCCTCCCCTTCCCATCTCTTTGTACAGAAAATGAAGAAAGCTGCTGCAGGCTAGTGGTGCTACACTGCTGAGCTTGGCTGCCTCAAGCAGATCTATCAAGGGAAAAAGGGAACATCTCCAAATCAAGTGCAGAATATAAAGAGGCAAAACCGCGGATTTCTGCCAAGAGAAGCAAACATGGCAGGAAAAGGGGAGGGAAAACCAAGGGAAAAGAGGAAAAAGAAACCACCCACCGGCCTGCGCCCTCCCTCCCACCACCCCACTCCTCGCCCCTCTTCCTTCTTAAACCCCCCCCCCCAAAAGCTGAACTGCCAGCTCTTTCACACACTACCCACCAGATGAGGTGGGGCCTCTCTCCGGCAACCACTTAGCTCCAGAAATGATGTGAGGGTAGAAAAAGGCCACTCTGCTGGAAATTGTCACTCTTACACAAGCTGGCTCTATTCAGTCCCTGATCAAAGCACTGCCTTACAGAGAAAGTCGATTTGCACGCCCTGGGACAAAATAATCTAATTTACAAGCTCAGGCAATAGAACTTTCTTTAGGGAGGAAGGGGAAGGGAGCAAAAAAAGATACCAAAAAGAAAAAAACCACCCCCCGCACACACCCCAGAAATCTCATCTATGGTTCCTTGCTGCTTAACCCAGCAGAAAGAGGAGTTCTCGCACATTCATTTCAAGACAAGATAAGTTTGTACTTGTCTGTGTAAACAGTTTATTCACTGCAGGAATCGGGAGCCTGCGAGTCAACTGAATTAGCAAGTCAGAGAGGCAATTCTGGAGAGCACGAAGCCCCCCAAAGCCAGGCCTGTATCCACTGCACACACCTCTTTTGGGAGCTCCTGCTTCCCATCACTCACAGGAGATGCGGATGCTCTCCAAGGCCACCGGTGATGCAGATGAGGCCAAGCCCCAGCACCAGTGGACGTGTGAGGGTGGTGGCCAAAGCCAAGGCTCTCACCAGACCCAACCTGGGCATCTCTGCTTGGATTTAGCCCAGGAGGACAAATTAAGTGCCATTGAGGAACCCTAATTAGCACTGGGTTTCAAGGAAGGACCAAAGCGGGGTTGTACAAGCTGTACACGAGCAGGGTTTTGCAGGGATGCTGAGAGCACATGGCTCCTGCCCAACACCAAGCAGCATCTCCTCTCTGGCATGACGTAGGGATGGAAACGCTCTCCTCCCCTGCTCCTTCCCTCCACGTGTCCCAGTTATAGAATCATAGAATAGTTGGGGTTGGAAAGGACCTTAAGATCAACAAGTTCCAACCCCCCTGCCATGGGCAGGGACACCTCGCTCTAAACCATCTCACCCAAGGCCTCGTCCAACCTGGCCTTGAACACCGCCAGGGATGAAATCCCAACACGAATTCCCAATCCCAACATTTCCCCATGGCCAACCCATTCCCTGCAGCTCCCACCTGAACTTACCGGAAAATGAGGTAGAGAAACTTGACCGTTGGCCTTGACGCTCCGATGCATTTCCCGCTGGAGCTGCTTCTTGCTCCCAATTCTGTACGGGGGGATCCCATCTCTGCACATGGAAGAGAGGTCACCATCAGTCAGTTGGGGCTCTCCCCATGCTCTAAGCAAGATGCTTCTTCATCACTTCTGAAACCACCCAGGCACCCACAGGCCCATGTTCCCAGAGGTGCTGAGCCCTGGGGATGGCACCTGAAGCCTCAAACATCTGGAAGCTTGGGAACTGCCCATGTCATCATCTACATGGATGTGCAGTAATTAAGCAAAAGCTGAAAAGCAAGTTGAAGGCAACTCCACATGGGAAGACACCCAAAGAACCCATCAGCTTCACTTCTGAGGCATCTTAGGAAAAGGCCCTTCCAGTGCCTGGTTTCTGCTTCTGCCCTTTATTTTCATTGCTTTTTCACCCCTGAATTATGCTCTCTAAGACTGCAACTTTCAGCAGGCTCTGAAACACCCCACGGAGCGCTGGAAACAAGAAAGGACTGAAGATGGATGGCCATCAAAAGGCTGGTCCCATCTCTAGACCAGAGATGCTTCTCCTGCCCTGGGGCTGGCCAGCACAGACAGGACACCAGAGGCACGAGCGAAGCTGGGCTGTACCCTCCGGGCACAGCGCTGCTCCCTTTGACCACACCAGCTCCTGGCTAGGAAGCCTCAGTGGGAAGAGCCCCTGCACATCCCGCTCGAGGCAACGCGGGGTGTTTGCATCCAGCCACGCAAGGACCTCCCGCAGTGAGGATTAAAGGAACCTCCACAGGCAGCGGGGCAGCCGGAAGAGCATGCCTGGAGATCCTGAATGTCTGAGTCCTCCTCTTCCCTCAGCCCAGCCTTGATCTCCGGTCCCAGCCCTTTCACCCACACCTGACTCATCTCCCGAGCCCAGAAAACAGCTCCTATCCAAGGAGGAGCAGCGCCCGAGCAGGCAGCGGTGGCCCCATGCTGCTGCCAGAGGAGCCAACGCTGCACAGCATCCCTGTGTGCCACCTCCTATAGCCACAGTGATGGCACGGACACACCAACGTGCTTTGGATGCATAGACAGAGACACGGCGCAAGGGAATGCCTTCCTGAAGACACCAGGTCCCTTCTCTTGAGGAGGAGGATGATGAGATGCCATCGCTCCATGCCCAAGGTTTGAAGTGTGCTATTGAAGTCCCTGGCCAATGCGTTCAGTCACCATTAAATTCTTTTAATGAGCATGGTGGAGCTGCAAAGCCTGCAGTGAAAGATCAGTACAATTCCATCTTCATAAACTTGGGAAAAACCTTTATCATGAAAGAGAGCACACCAGGACTGCAGAGAAAGGCCTTGACGCTACAGGATGAACATCAGCCTCCTCTAGACACAGTCCATGAACTCATGTTACATTACAAGTGAAAGGAGTTGATTGTCTTGATGTCCCCCAAAATGCACTTTCTGGGGAAGAACCCAGCACACACTGGCCTATACAGCTGGCCATGGCCACTGACCACAGCCACTGGTGGCCACCAAGCATTTCTGCTCCATGAACCCATAGGACAACAGGTACATGACATGCCTTAGCTGTGGGAGAGGATGGGGGAAATACCAATCTAAGGTGAAAACCAAATCATTGGTACCTTCAGAGGAGCATTTGCTAACTGAGGCTTACTGAGATAAGGGTCCCTTCAGGAAGACCTTCAATATAGGGAGTGACCAGCAGAGCAGGCATTGTAAAGGTAAGTAAAAACACCAGCAAGAGCATGCTACCTGCATCCATCCATACAAGACTAATCCGTTAGCATATGCAATGGAAGAGGAGGTGACCTCTGCAAATGGCAATCCAAGAGGCCCCATGGGGAAGAGCAGCTGAAGGGCTTTGTGCTCAACAAGAGGTACCCAAGGACACAACCAAGGGACAACGGGAGCCCTGCAGCCCTCCTGTGCTCCCCACATCCCTCCAGGTTTGCAAGCATGAGATGTCCCCAACCCCTCTGCTGTGGCCACCAAGCTGGGAGCTCATCTCCCAGTGTATCCCCAAGCTCCCAGCGCTGGAGGGACCATCTCTGCCAAAAGGGGAAGTCCTAGGACAGGCTATGGAGCAGGAGCAAGAATTCATGCCGTTCCCAGGCTTGAAAACCAACACTGATCCAACAGCACAGCTCCTCTAGTTAAGATTTGCCCTCATTCAAGTCAGTACAGAAGCTGCTCCTTCCTCCTAGAACTCCTCTGGTTGCACCAGAGAGCCCCACATCAAACCTCCTGCTCCCTGCTTCTGCAGCCCTGCCTTTCAGAAGAGTTCCACAACTTGTAACAACACGCAGAATGAGAGAAAAGGCTCATTTTTAATAAAAAGAGGTATTTCATTGGATGGGAAAGCTGTGGAGCAGCTCAGGAAAGGCAACCTGGGAATGGGGAGGGACTTTTAGAGCCCCTTTGATGGGTGCTCTCTAAACCTAAGGGGAAATGGACAAGGCCAGGGATGAAAGGGTGACCAAGGAGTGAGGAAGGGACAGAATTGGAGCTGCAGCCAGGCTCAGTACAAGAGATATGGGGGCAGGGGTACCTTGATGCTGAAGCAGACACCCCCCGACCAGGAGAAAGCGCCTTTGAAATGAAAAGCAGGGGTTTTGGGGCAGCACAAGGGTTAATCCCAGCTCTCCAGGTGCCACCTTTTGCTCCAGCAGCAAACATCTGCACTCACTTTCTTGGCTCCTAAAAGCTGCGGGCTGAAGAGCTGCAGAGTTTAGGCACTAAATAGTAGAGTTTAATTATAAACATTTCAGCTAACCAGGCTGGGGCGAAGCCAATCTGTTTCTGGGGGAAACACTAGTTTGAAGTCTTCTACCCAGTCAGCTGCCATTTAAGCTGAGCCAATTATCTTAGCCTTTTGACTCAGATGTGCCTGACCTAACCTGAATGTAGTTTTACTGCTGCTTTGAAATATCAGACTCATGCGCATATGCATTCACTCCCATCTTCATTTGGCAACGGCTCTGAAACAAGCCTCTGATCTTGCCAACATCAAAAGCCTGGTTTGTAAGATAAGGTAATATTTGAAGTTTGCTCAGCAGCATTCCCCTGTGTCCAAAGTAAATCCATAAATAAGATATAAGCAAATTAAAAAAAAAAAAAAAAATCCCCTTTCCTCTCCCCCCTCCCCAATCAAGAAATGGAAACAGAAATTTGCATGATGCGTTGTGGCTATTACAAAATATATATGGACGGTCTGATCCCTGGCTATCTGTGATACAATTAAAAAGGCAGATCGTGCATTATTTGGAGTCTTAATTCCAGTTCAGATGGAGATGTACTTAAAAAGAAAACCCCCTCACTTTACTGACAGACTTTTCCAGAACAAGTTTTTCCTCTTCAGTTGATACCACCATGAGCCAAAAGCACTGATTTGCATCCCCACTGACAGAACAACCCCGGGTCCTCTGTTCGAGGGGGTAAAACCTTGCAGGCAGAGGAGCACCTGGGCTCAGCACGTGAAAGCGCAGCAGCTCTGTGCCCCAAACCCACCCACAGCATCTCTCCAGCCAAGTGCCAGGAAGGGCCCGTGAATCCCACACGTTTCCCTGCGATCCTGGCAGCGGCCCCTTCGCCTCTGCAGAGGAAGTTTTACATCAGCCTTAACTTGAAGCCCAGCTTCCAGAAGTGCCAATTTACCTCTCCCACTTCCAAAAGCACCCAGCATCCCTGCCTGCTCCCAACGGCTCAAGGGATGCCCGGCGGGACCGGTTCTGCAGCAGGAAATGCTCCTTTTAGCATCCTCAGTGCCCCCCCCCAGCCCAGCCCTCCTGCCGCCCCCCAGCCTGGAGCTGGGGGCAGTTTAATCAGCCAAGCTTCCCCAAACTCTCACAGCCTGCACGGGCTATTGTTACAGCAGGAAAAAACAGGCAGGCTCCTTTCAGCCCTGCTTTATGGGGAGCTCCTATTCACTTGTTCAAGCAAATTTCAAAGCGGGCTGCTGCCCTCTCATCCCCGCTAAGCTCCCCTGGACTAACAATGGGCTGAAAGCGATTCAGTTAAGCCTTTCATCCACCATGCACTTTATTTCTCACTCAGTGCTCTCATCTGTATAAGGCCTACAATTGGCATTGCTGTGAAGAGAGGGTATAATCCTAGCCCTGTGAATCCCAAGTGACCCTACACTGGTCCAGAAATGACTAACCCAATGAATGCTCTGTTGACACATGATCACATACAACCAGAGCCAGTAAGAAGAAATAAAGAAGTCACCCTATGATTCAGCTCTTTTATTTAATGCCAATATTGTTCAATAAGGGAATCTGGTGGGACAACAAACTATTTTTTTCCGTAATATCAGTTCAAAACACACATGTGCATTAAAAAAATAAAGCCTTTGTTTACGCATCAAGGGGTTTTGGTAAATCCTGGTTTCTGTTATGCACCATCACACACACTGACTTTCAAAACCCAGCATGCAAACCCCTCTGAGGAGTACACAGTAAGCACTGAGCATCTCTCACAGAGACACTGGAGAAGTTTCACCTCCAAGATGAAGACCAGGAATGAAGCACTCTGTTTTAAGGTGGGCTTTTCTGCAGCACTTGTATGTAAGTGAAGATCACAACACACAGACAGCAACATCTGCCCTCTGCTCAGTGCAAGAAGATGGTCCTTAGGAGCCCTAAGTCTCAGTGTTTCCTCTACAGACACTAAACACCACTGGGGACAGCAAACAGAGGGAGAACAGTCAAATGACTTGCTCCCAGTTGCACACTCAACAGTCAGGAGGAAAAGCCAGATCCTGCAACTCCTGGGCTCAGCCACAGCATCATCTCTCATCCCAGCGCCTCTGAAACACCCAGGCCTGATCCATGCAGCTCCAATTCAAATGGCTCTTTGAAGACTGCCCCAGCCACACTAGATGAGCAGCTATTTGCCCCTTCAGGTCACTGGCCCTATTAATGCACATTCTGACATTAATGATGAACGCTAATTACAGAAAGTACTTCCTACAGGAAGTAATCTCCTCCTCTTTGATGACTGATAACTAGTTAAGGAAGCCTGGCCTTAAGACAAAGGCTCAGGGAGATATGGTCCTTGGATTAGTCAGGCAGCACCATTACCATAGGGCAAAACATGTTTGCTCAGCTGCAGTTGCAAAACAGCAATAGAGGGATTCATTATTTTACTCCATCTGATACCTCCGGCGACTGCATGAAGAGCAAGGCCACCATGCCCTGCTACACCTCCCAGTTTGGGTGCACACCTCAGTTCTGGCAGCAGAAGCAGGGCGATTATCTTGAACCCATCACTCCTGTAAGCCCCCATGGCGCATCAGGTTCACAGATGGACATCCCGAAAGGACACAAGCTACTTACACGCTGCTGTCCGTCATTGACATGGAGTCATCCGTCAGGGCATCACTAGATATCTCACTATCGTTGGCGCTGGTTGCTGGGGCAAAAACATAGCCAGAGTTCACATGGTATGGGTTAACGGGATCGTTCCTCTTGAAGCACCTAGGGACAAGAGCAGGGATCTCGTTACCAGCCAGTCTTGGGCTTGAGAAAAGCAGACAAGCTTCATGGTAGCACTCTCCTTATGGGAACCATGCACAACGGCTGCACAACCTCTTGAGAAGCAACCAACCATCCATTGCTCAGACCAGCAGCAGCCAAAGGCACACTCTGTCCAAACACAGCCAAAGTCCAACTTCAAAGATGTTGCTTTTAGCATTGGAAGTGCACTTTATAAAACCCCAGGAAGCACCTCTATGTACTTTGATACCTTCAAAGACTCGGTCCTTAAAGCTTGATGCTGCACTGCTGAGGTCAACAGGAGCTTTGCTGTTGGCATCAGCGGGCAAAAGATCAAGAAGTTCATAGCTCAAGTCCCACTGAAAGCCATTGAGGAACTGGCTAATAAATGCTTGAGACTACTCAGAATAAAGGGGTTAGGGCCCCTTTGGGAACACGAATTACAGTACCTGTGTTGCCTGCCAGGAAAACTGCCTGAAGCCACGGGAGCAGGACCACCATGTGCCACAGGCATGGATAGGGCTGAAACCTCCTGTCTTGGGCTTGGCCTCCCAAGGATGGGTGCCATCTTCCTGACATTATCAAAAAGCCCAGTTTTTAGGAGAACCTACTACACGTTCAGCTTGTGCTTTTGTGTGGAGTTGGGTGAGGAAGAAGAAGATGGGGATGTGAGGACAGGTTGTATTAAGAGGCACGTGGGTTACTGATACCAACACCTTTGGAGAAGCAAACACAGAGCCCAGTCTGGGTGTTTGAATTGAGCACCCAAGAATGGCTGCATGAAAAATTCATGGGCAGAGGGATACAGGCTGTGATGGGAGCATGGCAGGGTCACCAAGGCAGGGGGGGACCTGTGCATCCCCCTGCCCTCTACCTCCCCTCACACCAACTTCCCAGGCAGGATCAATATACATATCTCCAGCAGGCGATAAGGGGATTATGCAGGGAGGTTTGGAAGCCGCATGTTAAGGTGCCCATTTTGTTCCTCTTCCAGGGGAAGATGGGGTTGTTAAGCTTCAGCCTTTGTATATCAAAGCAGAAGGCCTTGTCATCTGATAAGGACTGCTGATTTTAATAATGAGGGCCACTTCCCCAGGACTTGGGGGCCTAAGGAATGTGCCAGCAGGCTCGGCAGGTTTCTTTAATGGGCTTTCCACCTCCCTGCCCCCACGGGGGGCTGGAGGGGACCAGCTGGGTTGAAGTGAGCAGCAATATCCCTCCATCACCCTGCTCTCCATCCTTTAACCAGGCACCCCGCGCATCCCTGCTCCTCCAGCACCGAAAACAGGAGCCACAGAGGCTTAAGGTAAAAATAATAATAATAAAACAAGGGGAGGGGGATAAAAAAGAACCCCAGGAGGGGGAAGCATGGTGGGGAATGGGGAAGATGGGCCTCTCTGGTATGAGAGGCGCGGGGCTGGCTGCAGGCAGGTATTCAGCCCAGCCGGGGCTGCATTCCTTTCTGAAGGAGGCCAAGGCATTTCTGATGGGGAGATCAAGATGGTAAAAAAAATAATATATCTATATATATGGGAAGAAGGAAAAAAAAAAGAGATAGTTGGGAATGCCACAGGAAAGGAGTTAAATCTTCAAAGAGAAATTAATTCCACATGTGGGTGAAAGCAAAGTTATCCTATGACTACTACAAGAAGTCCCTCTAAAATCCATGCAGTCTTCTATTCTACTTCAAGGGGATGTGCAGCCAAGCAACTCTTCCTAGATCCTGGTGGGCTTTAAGGTCACCAGTGTAAGGGATGCACATCTCATGACTACTTGATTTGAAACCATCTCAGGGCTTGAGAGCAACCAGAGCACCATAAGGCTGTGGGATACTCCCTGCACAGCATCACCACCCTGCTGGGAGGTGCCTGTGTCACCCCTGGGTGCACGCAGGGGCTGGTTTGCATGGATGGATGGATGGAGAGGCTGGGATGGGGGCGGAGGCAGCGGGTCTGTATGAATACAGCACAGGGAGAAGGGGAGGTGTGTCCAAACACAGTGTTTGGGAAGATACAATTAGAGAAAGCGGCCAGAACAAGCTCCCATTCCCATCAGCACCAATTCACCCACCAAGACCTCACATCAACCCTGAAGTTGGTGTGTTTGTAAAGCAAACCCCTACAGTCCATCTCCACCACACTGCCCCAAAGAAAACCCTTTACAGACACCAATGGGGGCTGGTTTGCTGTGTTTAATCTGACCACCTTACTACACTAATTGCACCCAGATGCATGGAGCTGCCTGGGAGGGTTCTGAATTCCAGGGGAAAGCGGTGGTCTCCTGCCACAGATGCTGCAATCACAAACACACTCCCCAGCTCCAAACTCAATATGCAAAGTGTTTTCAGCTGTCAGGTAGCAGTTGCTCTGGAGCTTCAAGGAGAATGTCTGATGTTTCTCAGCCTATTCTTATCTTGATGCGATGACACACAGCATGGAACCCTCTCTCTATGCTATGTTAGGCAATGGGCATATCAGAGGTATTATAATGCCATGAAAATTTCAGGGGCTCCTGATTGTATCCCCTGTTATGAGGGTGCAATTTCAGAGCGTGGAAGGGATTTTTATTGTCAGACACTGCTCCTTAGAAATAAGAGCACTCTGGCAGTTCAAACCACGTTAGACAGAGAGAGGAGAATATCTACAAGGAGCATTTTGAGGTAAAATAGAATCTCATTAAGGGTTTTCTTGAGACAACCAGCACTGGGCAATGATGGGATTAAAAAGAAACGGAAAAACACACATGCACAAACCTGAGAGAGAGGGGAAAAAAAAGGTATATTGGAGCAAAACTATGTTAATCACAGCCTGCATGCTCTAATTGTAGAACAGTGCTTGGAGCATAGCTTTACAATGGCATCATTTACTTTGATAATTGAAGCCAAACTTGGTTCCAATAACTTCACACACAAGGAGCTGCACCGGCGGGGCCTCTCAAAGGCCAGGAAGCACTGGGAGCCGGCAGAAGGCCATCTGCAAGCCCCAGCCTTCCCCAAGCAAGGCCAGCCCCACTGATGTTAGAGTTTAATGGGAGGCAGATGAGTCCACCTTGGACCGCACGAAGCCCCGTTAGCGGCGGCACAGCAAAGGAAGAGCCCTCTCTGTGTACACAAAGTCGTGCCTGATAAATATAGAAGCGCATATAAATAATAGCTGGAATTCCTGGCGCATGGGGCCAGGTCCAGCACAGCGTGTGGGGAGGCCACTTTTAACCACACCACAACCTCCAGGGGAGGGGAGTCGCTTTGAAGGACAAGAGGGAGGTTCTGCATGTAAAACATTCCCTGTCTCGGGCAGCAGTTTGCCTGCATACGCTGTGTTTTCACTCGACTTCTCCTGTTCCTGTCCATCAATGATGCTGGGGCCAAAGCCTTTCAACTTGTACAGATCCTGCGGTCTCCCATGGGCTGTGTTTTTGCCCGGGGATTCCCAGGTGGTCTCCCATTCAAACACCAGGCTGGCCCCAGATCGCTCTGCTCCCACCATCAGGTATGCTCAGCACAGGGCTTTGCTGCTCTAATCACATGGAAACCCACCAAAGTGAGTGGCAAGAGCCTGCACTGCTCTTCTAAACCGTAACACCCAGCAGAAATGCTTTAATTCCATCACACACACACGAGGAGGGAGGTGTGGTTTGGCCACTCACCAGGAAAGACTTTGTGCAAGCTTCAGCTCCCATCCTGAACGCAATCCTAAGCCCTGGGTGATGAGAGATAACCCATCCATATGCTCATCAGCTTCTAGCACATGCACGCACAAGTGGCTTCACAAACGGATAGCTCAGGGAGGAACTGAGAAGCATCTCAGCTTGACCTCCCTCTCTTTGCATTGAGATCTCTTGGCCCCATGGAGAGCAAAAGCTCCTGGAAATTCAACAGAAGGTGATCAAAGCAAAAGGCACTACCTAATGTCCTAGGAGGGTAGCTCTGACATGTGAGGAACGAGCTGCATTAATCCCTGGACAAAAAAAGAAAAGGAAGGCAATAAAGAAAAGGGAAAAATCCCAGCACTAATCAGGCAAGCAGCCACCATTCTGCCAGCACTCCCCTGGACAAGGCACATGTGGGCTTTTTAGCAGGGCCTGCAGCTCTGGTAGAACATTACAGCCAAGCCCTTCCAGCACTGAATACCAACAAAGGCTGAGAGATAAAAGCATCAAACATCCCCCTCCTGGAAAGCAAGCGAAGGGCAGCAGTTCAAACCAAGTTCTGGAGAGCAGCAGATGCTCAGACAGTAACAGGCACGAGATGCAGATCCCAAACCCCAAGCCCTCCACACACCAGCTGCCAGCGAGTGCCCCCCCCCGCACAGCCCCACAGCAGGAGAGGTCCAAAGGCCATGCCAGGATGACACACATCCATCCATCCATCCATCCATCTCTCCATCCCTCCCTCTGGTCTGCACCCACGCCTCCGGGACAGGACCAAAGAGGCCTCTGCCTCCGGAGCTCCCTCACAGGCAATAGGAGCCTCCCAGCTCCAGGTGTCTCGGCACTGGGAAGCCCGGCACAGCTGGAAGCTCTCCGCAGGGCAGGAGAGGAGGGTTCGCTCCAGCAAAGCCTTCCCAGGAAAAGCCTGATGCCCTTTGATGTCCGTGAATCACAGACACGCTCTCACCATTCCTGTAAACGAGATGTCAAACACTCACCATAGCAAAGCCCAGGCTCCTGGGCCAGCAGAGGAGAGCGCGCATCTGCCAGCAGAGCCCTCTCCTCTCAGCCCTGATTCAACAATCCACATTTATGGCAAGGGTGGGGAGAGGAAAGAATACATTTTCAGAGGATTATACAACTCATCATTTGCTCATCACTCTCTCTTTCCCATCCCCCCATCTTCAAGTGAAGATGGTTCTTTCTGCATCCTCACACCGCTGTGCCATCAGTATCTCCAACAAAAGAGATGGGTTCAGCATCACAGCTGCACCCCAAGACAAGGGCAGAAAACCCTGCCACCACACAACACTCTCCACAAGCTGCCATGAGGCACAACCACGTTTTAATGAGCTTAACTTTGAGCACACGGCCAACAGGAGAGCACCAACGATCTACTATTACTCTATACCTGGGATGTCTCTATTAGCACTCAACTTTAAGTATCCTCCCGTACGCACTGGCTCAAAGCCACCCTAACTGCCTTTGACACGGTACCAACACCCAACGCGGTGGGAGAGGCTGTACATCACACACACAAACCGAGCTGATTTTGTGCAAGTTGCAGAGTTTGATGCACTAAGTGCATGCATTTCCTCCTCCATGACCGCACAATTGCTTCCCACATAACCAACGTAGTTAAACACTGGCTGATGGTGGAGTTGGGGAACTAGTAGGTTACATTATTCATGCGTCTATTTGATCCACTCTACTACTGCTCTTAATACGTTTGAAAGCTGAACCAATAATTAACGTATGTCCGGAGGACATAGTTGCCATGAAGTTTTTGATCTATAAGAGAACTGAAAGAGCCAATGGGGCTGAAGAGCACAGGCTCTCCCTTTCCTCTGCACAGACACCTTCAAACCCAGCCAACACCCCCCAAATTCCAGCGTTTGGAGGCGCGGGGAAGCTCCCAGCCTCTCTGCCAGCTCCCCAGCACTCCATCCCAACACTCTCACAAGTCCTTAAAGTTAAAACAAAGCACCATTCCCAAGGCTTCCCTTACCTGTATCCGTTCTCGATGGTCTCCGTGGCTCTGACATTCGCCGTAACCCTCAGAGTCTTGCTGGATAGTCCCACTACCGAAGGCAAGATCTTGTTTTTAAAGTCTGCACAGCTCCATTCCTCTTCTTCATTCAAGGTCGGGAGATAGCCACAGACCACTTTTAAGCTCCCCAGTCCATTGCTGTTCATGTAAGCAGGATTCTCTCCTCCACTCCTTACATATTCGAGGTATATATCAGAAGTTAAAAACATCTGGTAAGCATTTTCCTCCATCACAGTCTGAATCTCAGTCTGTGCCTGATCAAACATGATAGAATCTATCTGCTGCTTCTTGATGCTATCCCTTATGTAGGTCTTGGTAGCAGGCTTGAGCTGCTTGGAGACGATGCTGTTGTTCTCGATGTACCTTTTGTATATAGCTTTGGCTACTCTTAAAGTTTTGGTATCCTTAAGGTCCATCTGCCTGAAGCCATTGCAGGCAAACCAGAAGTCTAAGGTATCCACACATTTTTCCCTTTCCAAGAAGGTCCGAAAAAGATAGGCACCATCTTGATCTCCCAACAAGGAATGCAAGGATTTGGTCCATCTGGCCAAAGGGGAGTCTGGAGATGCGCTGCCTTCCGGCTCCCCGAGTCCATTCTCATTCCTCCGCGGGGCAGGAGGCACCGGCATGGCCTTGAAGCTTTGGCTTTTGGGGAGGAACGAGCTGGCGAGATGCGGGCATGGTGCCTCTCCTTCCTCCCCCGGGACAGGGGGTCGGGGGGCGTCTTCCCTGAAGCTGGTGCTGGGGTCGGGGAGGTGGGCGAGGAGCACGGCGCTGCTCATGGCTCCGCAGCCCGGTTGGGAGTGGGGCTCCCAGTTCCTCCTGGAGCTGCCTGCCCCTCTGCCTGCCTCTGCCTGGAGTCAGCAGGGGATCCTCTGAGCCTCCTCTCTGCAAAGGGAGGGAGGGGGGAAGAAAGGAGGAGGGGGGGAGAGAAAAAAGGAGTATTGATCTAATCAAAACCAGATCCTCCCAACATCAAAGACAAAAAGTAAACAGGCTTTTCAACTCTTCACAGGCAAAAAAAAAGAGGAAGGGAGAAGAGGAGCAAGGCAGGGCAGAGCGAGCGCGGCTCCATCGCCAGCCCGATCGCGACTATCGGGTCCGCTCCGCTGAACTCCCGGCGCACTTTGAGCGGGGCCGGGGCGGAGTGGGGGGGGGGGGGTTTGCTCAGCGCAGCCCCCCCTCCAGCAGCACAGCCCGGCCCTGCCCCGGCATCTGGTTTCCATTCCGCACCCCCAAACCCGTGCTCCCTTCGCCCTCCTCCTGCGCGCATGTTGCGCGCCCGAGCAGTACCGCGCTGCTTCCCCTCCCAACGGGAGGGCTTTTGGGGCGCTTCTATGCGGAGGCAGATGCTGGAACCGGGACCCCCGTCCCCAAAACCTCACCGGGGGTGAGGCGCGGGGTCCGTACCTGCGCGCTGCGGGGCATCCTGCGGCCGGAGCCATCACACCCGGCCCCGTAGGAGGGAAACACACGGAGAGGGGCCGGGGGGGGGGCGGGCGGCCCCGAGCGCAACCGGGCGGCAAAGCACTAATAATGATCAAAATGACCTGCTCCAGAAATGGCGACGGGCGGGGAGGAGGGAGGTCGGGGCCGCAGCTGGGGGGGGGGGGGGGGAAAGGAGGGAGGGAAGGAGGGAAAAAGTCCGGAGCGACTTGGATCTGCGAGCCCTGTGCAACAGCCGCGCCCGCGGAGGCTCCGCAGAGCGCGCAACATCCCCGAAAATAGCTCTAATTAATGAAAACCCCCGTGTTTTACAGCAAAACACCGCCCCCCCCCCATCACCACTCACCGCGGAGCCGGAGCTCGCTGCGCGCCCGCGGCCCCGCCGCTCTCCGCCGGCAGCAGCAGCGCGCAGGCTGGCCCCGCTCCCCCCGCGCCCCTCGCTGTCCTTCCTCCTCCTCCTCCTCCTCCTCCTCCTCTCCTCCCCGGCGGTGCAACCGCATCGGAGAGCATCGGGAAGAGGGGGGGGCGATGGGGGGAGCGGCGAGGGAAGGAGCCCACTGCGATCCGCGCCTCCCGCCCCTGCCTATTTATTTTATTTATTTTAAATACAAAAGCGAAGGTCCCTCCCCCCCCCCCCTTCCTCCTCCTCCTCCTCCTCCTCCTCCCTCCGCCCCCCCGGGCTCTCCCCGCATCAAAGCGGAGGCCGGCGGAGCGGTCCTGTAAGGGCGGTAGCGCTGCTCCGCTCCGCTCGCACGCACACAAAAAGAGTTAAAACAGGCCCAAAAAAATAAAGATAAGAAAGAAATGAAGAAGGAGAAGCGCGAGGTGGAACAAACCCCAAACACACCGCCTCGGCCGGGAATGCCGCCCCGGTATCCTCAGCGCGAGGTGTGCGCGGGGGGAAGCGCTACCGCGGGGGTGAATACGGGGTCATTATTCGTGAGGAAAACAACTGTATTTTCCGGCCTTGGGTTTATTTTTGGGGGTGTTTTTACCCCCTTTTCTCCCCATCCCGGAGCGGTTACGGAGTTGCCAGGACCTTATCAAAGGGAAGCGATCGGCAGCCGCCGCGCCGCCGCCCCCCCCACGCCTTAAAGGGACAGGCGCATCCTTCCGCGCCGCTCCGCGCCCCGCGGCCGCACCGCGCTGCCTCGGCCCCCGGCCCCCCTTAGGGCTGCGGGGAGGGAGGCCAGGGCCAGGCGTGAAAACTTAGCGAAAAGTTCTGATCGGAGAGAGCAAACGGGGCGGGTCCGCGGCTATCATTAATTCTTAATGAATAATCCAAAGCATGGGTTTTGCGCTAATTAAACAATACGTGATTGCCATAGAACCGGCACACCAGCACATCTCCATCTGCAGTTGTGCTCACATCTCCCCTCCATCTGTTTAATATTTAACAGACACGGAATGGAGGGGTTTTAACTTTGCACAAAAGGTTTTAATTAGGGGTTGGCCCCCAAACCTGCCCTCCAGATCCAAGGAGGCTCCTGCCCTCCTCCCCATCCTGCTCCGAGGCTGGGCACAAGGCTCAGAGGTTCCCTGCTGGCTGGTGGAGCCCACTGTGGCCCTGGCAATGCCCTGCTCCACCTCAGCCCTGCAGCTCCATTCCCTTCTTCTCAGAGCACAGCCCCATGTGCAGGGTTGCAGGGCAGGATGGAGGGTAACGCTACAGCAGGGATAAGGGTGAGCTTTCCAAACCCTGCTTCATTCTTACCATGATTACCATTATTAAAGCCCAGCCTGCTGCAGAGGCCCCAAATAGATTCTTTCTCTTACATCCCTGAGTAAAGACTTTGGGATCAAGCCCCACTCTTGAAAGCATTTCTATATAATAGCAGAACATCCCATGTGCCAACCCCTGCTCCTCAAGCCCCTCGGCAGGGACCACCGTGGGCACCACCACCTAAGGAGACTCATGTCTCCCTGCACCCAGGCTTGCAGTTGGGCTCAGCACCCCATGATCCCACTTTTCCTAGGAAAAATCCCTATTCCCCACACTCACTGCCCTGTCCCCCCAGCACTGAGTCAGAGCTGCCCATGCCAGCCCCAAAACACCTCCAGAACCAAGGAATGGAGCTGAGACAGAGCCTGCTCCCACCACTGCAGGTCATCCCCACCAGCTCCCTCCTTCCTGCCACCCTCCTGTGTCTCCACAATGCGGGGGGACCCCACTGTAAAGCCTAAAGGGACCCCTGCAACCAGCACATCAGAGGAACCCCAACTAAAGTCCCAGGGGCTCAACCTGATCCTGAACAGGAGCACCACAACCATTGTGACAGCCACAAACCCATCCTTTTCTCTTCCCACCAAGCCATTGGAAAAGCAACTGGTTTGCAACATCACTAAACACAGTGCTTGGCTTCGCCCTGCGATGAAGAGCTCCCCACTTCTTCCTCTCCTCCAGGCCCTGCTCAAACCACTGTCTCCACCAAGATGACAGCAAAACACCGCATGTCGCAGTGGCCCTGGATGTGGCAGCCTTTGAAGCTGCGATTTCATCAGCACCGGGATGGATGAATCCATCCGAGCACCATGCACAGCAGGGAGAAGGCAGCCACGCATATTACTGGGTGCCTGGACTGGATAACCTGGGCTAATCATATGAAATAACATGGGTGAATCTGTTGTTGCTGCCCAATTACACATTTTTCAGGCCTGGGAATGGCTACCATTGGGTATGGAGAGCAAACGTGCTGCCAACCCCACGAGCAGAGCAGTAAAAGCCATTGTTAGGCACAACAAGCAGTTAGGAACTATTAGCATTACTAATGTATTTGCTGCTGATGATGCCAAGTATCGACATGCCACTATGCCAGAGCCATATGAGATGCATGGCCGGGGTCCCCTGGACCCCTTGTGATGGTGACAGTGAGAACACCTCCAGCCACCAGAAGCTGGAGGATCACCTCCTGCCTCTTACATCTTTAAGGTGCTTTGAAACAATACTGGCATAGAAAGTTGAGTCCCATTCACTACTACAGCATGGAAAGCGAAGCCTTTATAATGGAGGCTGAAAACCTTGGACTTCTCCACTTTGGAAGTAAATCTCATTAAGTGTCATTCATTCTATTTCATAAAAATGTCATTTAACCAACTGGTTTTCTCCAAGTTGTGCAATAAATAACACTGCCCTGCACTGATGCCCTGGGAATGCACCATGCAACAAGTACTTGTATTAAATACATGCATTAAGTCTCATCCCAGTACTTAATTTACTGCATTATTTGGGATCAGACGTGCAGAGGAGCAGCCCTCCCACCGACCTGTCTAATGCACCATCCTCTTCATGACCATCCTCTTCATGACCATCAGAAAGGGATAATTTGGGAATGAAATGAGAGGAGGGCAAGCCCCTGGGGACATGGCTTTGTGTGGAAGTGCCCATGGAGCAGCTTGTCCTCCCAAAGCCACAGTAGCCCCGTTCATCTTCTACGTGTCCAGTCAGGGAGTCTATTTTCTCCTCCTGCCAACAGGGAAGAGTCACGTAGTGCCTGAGATTTGAAAGCGTTCCGATGAACTAGGCAGGCGGTGGCAGGGACAAGAAGGTCTTCCAGAGTGTTCTTCATCTTTATCAGTTTCTGGAAGCCCTTGTTCGTAGATCTACAGGGAATCTCTGTGTTCAGGTAGCGGCTGCAGTCATCAAGAAAGCAGAGAATCTTTGAATTTCCTTCTGATTTTCCAGTCTAAACTTGAATCTGAATTCCCAGGCTGAACAGAAGGAAAATTAACTATTTATGTTTTGTTTCCTGGCCCTTCTGCATTTTAGATGAAAATACCAGTAAATGGGTGAGAAAATGACTGCAAAAAGCTGTACAAAGTGCTGTCACCCAGCTGTGTGCCCTCACAGTGCCACTGCAAAGGCCAAGAGCATCCTTTCCTCGCTGCTGCTGCTGCTCTGCATCACGTTCACAGGCAGTGCAAAGAAGCTTGAAGTCAGATTGTGGCACCAAAAAGGAATAATTTTAGATGAAAAGAGTCAGTTTGCAGTGAAGGTGCACAATAAAGAGAAATGGGTTTTGTTGTTGTTTTTTAGAGCAGGTAGTAAAAAAATAGGAAAGAAAATTCCATGGGAGCTATTAAGGAGTCAAGTGCCAGCCCAAGAGCATCGCTCTCGGTGACAGATGTGCCGGTGCACACTCATTGGGCTCATAATGCAACACCCCATCTTGTCCTAACTGTACACAACAGACCTGGCTCCATCACTGCCTCCTCTGCCCACAGGGCAGGTATTTTGCTGGTGTCTTGCACCAAAGGAGATGTCTCCAGGTTGTTGCTGTCTTGCAGAAAACTGGGTCAAACACCAGTTAAGGCTCTAAGGACCACACCAGGGCTGTTCTGTTCACCCCTATACGTGGCCT